GGTAACCATCTCCACAGGTGAATCATTTATGCACAGAGAAGTGTGGCTGTGCCTGCCTTTTCTGAAATCAACAATGATCTCTTTGGTTTTTCCGGTATTTAAAACTACGCTGTTTTCCTTACATCAGTTCACCAACCCTTCAACCTCCTTGCGATAAGCTTCCACCTTGTCATCCTGAATAAGGCCCACTACTGTTGTATCATCTGCAAACTTCACAATATGGTTGGTGGCAAACCTAGCACAACAGTCATGGGTCAACAGGGTGAACAGCAGCGGATTTAAGACGCAGCCCTGAGGAGAACCTGTGCTCAAGAAAATGGTATTAGAGGTATTTGTTCCAACTTGCACATATTGGGGCCTGTTGGTAAGAAAATCAAGAATCCAATTGCACAAAGGAGTGTTTAAGCCTAAAAGGCCCAGTTTGTTTACTAGATGATGGGGAATGATTGTGTTAAATGCTGAACTGAAGTTGACAAATAACAAACGCACATGAGCGTTTCTTTCCTCTAAGTGCTTCAGGCTCAGATGGAGAACGGAAGAAATAACATCCTCCATAGAGCGATTTGGTTGGTAGGCAAACTGAAGCGGGTCAAAAGCTGGCAGGAGGCTAGATACAATAGTGTCCTTTATCAGCTTCTCAAAGCATTTCATGATGGTGGATGTCAGTGCAACCGGACGGTAATCATTGAGGCCTGTAATTGTGGACTTTTTTGGCACTGGCAAGATGATGGCTGTCTTAAAACACCATGGGACCACTGCCTGCTGCAATGAGAGGTTGAAAATATCTGTGAGAACACAAGCCAGCTCCCCTGTGCATTCTCTGAGGACACGTCCAGGGATGTTATCTGGGCCTGCTGCTTTCCGAATGTTCCGAATGTTCCAAATTTACAAGAATTATGAGAGTTGAAGTCTATACATTTTAGTAACTGAGGTTGAAAAACACTGGTCTAGAAGGACAGAGGTTTAGAAGGACAGAGAATCAGTTTCAATAGAAAATCTGCATTACATTTTTTTCTGCAGCATGTACCACTAGGTCTGCAGGTGAAAATGTACATACAATTTCCATTGATTCACTTTTAAATGCTTCTGAAGATCAGTCCTTCCTACAATAAACACTGTCTCCTGCTCTGCAAATTTTTAATGGGAGATTCCAGTAGGTGAACTTGCTTCTTTCGGTCTTTTCTCAATAGATCCTGCCTTGACAAGTCCAGCTTTTGTTTAAATCTTCTTTCTCTCCTAGCTTCTGTTTTTCTACTTGTCTCCAGGTACTTTTCTTATTTTTGCAGATACTGATGTTTCCTTGGACTTTTCTCCACAACCTGTGAAATCACTCTCCAACCCATCTAGAAGATGGCAGAAAATTACACTGATGTTAAATTTTGTGGTGCCTCTGCTCCCTTACCTCATTCTGCCATGATATAAATTCAATCAAGCCTTTGAAAAATCACGAGGAATTACAAAAGCACTGAGCTACTTGCAGTGATGCAGAGGTTCTTGGTCCCATCATTTCATTCCTGCAGTCTTTCACACGATTGGCCAGAGGAATAGCAAAAGTACTAACCTCGATAGGACTGAATTACAGAATAACATCGCAAGATGAGGTTGTGCATTAAAACAACTTGCCTCCAGAAGTTGTGAATACTCCAACACTTGAGGTTTTTAAGAAGAGATTGGACAACCATTTGTCAGAAATGTTATAGGGCTTCCTGCCTGAGCAGGGGGTTGGACTAGATGACCTCCAAGGTTCCTTCCAACTTTGAATCTGGGTCATAAGTAGCCTTTTGGGGGTCTGTCATAACTCCAACCGGTCACTAAGTGATGGTTGTAAATCAAGGATTATCTGTAATTAGGATTAAGAGGTGAGCTGGATTCAATCCTGGTAATATATAAAAAACTTCAGGGGTGAAGTCTCCATTTTGTGTGTGTGTGTATATGTTTGTGTCTGTGTGTCTATGAGTGCCATCAAATGTCTGTGCCTTCAAGTCAGTGTTGATTCCTGGCAACTGCCTGTGATTGGCCATTGCCTCCTTCTGAGGGCAGAGTGTGTGTGACTGGTCCAAGGTCACCCAGTTGGCTTTGTACCTAAGCAGGGACTAGAACTCACAGTCTCCTAGGTTTTAGCCCAGTGCCTACTGTACTGAACTGGCTCTTTTTATCCCTAGAGCCACCAGCTCAGTATTTCAAGGACAAGTTCCATATTTAGGATTAAAAGTCCCTGTCCTCTTTCAACCTAAGAAGGAATGCAAATGGTTTTCTCTCTTTTTACTCTGAGAATCAATGCTCTTGAAATTCCCCAAACTGGAGTTAGAGGCTATTATGACAATTCTTTAACTCAGTAATGTTCGTTTACTATATACAAATGGTCTTATCTTGATCAACATCTCCCATGCAGCTACTATTAATGACTCTTCAGGGAAGACAATCAGCAGATGAAAAATTAAGCAAATGAGAGGACAGCCTAGGCAGAAAATAGCTGCAGAGAACACTTTATTGTTATCCAACCCAGACTAGCAATAATCCCTATCCCTCACTGAACAAATCATTTTTATTTTCATTGCTTTTTTCCTCCTCCCTCCCCAATCCTTTTCCTTGGTTCTTGCATCTCTATTTTTTTAAGGCAGATGGCAAGGGCTGTCCAAATACTGGTTTTTGTAAGTTGTCCTATGAGCCTCCTTTGGCTGAAAAATGGGACAAAATATTTTTTCCACTCCTATAATTTTAAAGATGACCACGATGCAGTCCTTGCTGTCAACCCCTTTGTGAATCTGTGAATTGATTTGCCAGCATTGAGATACATCTTAAAATTAGGGTTCTAAGATGGCCAGCCTGTAGAAATAGGAACAGCAGCTGGGCTTCCAGAGAGGGAAGACAGAGGAAGAAAGACAGAAGAAAGACATCCCATATTCTAGCACTCTGTTCAAAATTCGAAGTTCTCCATTGTTTCTAGGAATCCTTTCTGGAATTCTACAAAAAGAGGTTGTGAGCCAAGTTATTGGTAATGGAAAAGGGGGAAGAAAATGAAAGGATGGCGGAAAGAGACAGATGGCAATGCACCAAAGCACAATCTTATTGGGTTTTATCATTTTTATTGTGATTTTTAGCATTGTTGTTAGTCACCCAGAACTGCATGCCAGAAGTTGAATCTTCAACCTTCTAAATCAGGGGTGTCAAACTCAATTTCACTAGGGCCGCATCAGCATTGCGGTTGCCCTGGGGAGGCTGGGTGGGTGTGGCCAGAGTGGGTGCAGCCTACTTGGTGGGCATGGGCAGAGTGGGTGTGACCTACTGGATGGGCGTGGCCAGTTCTACATCATTCACGTCAAGGGTGCCTATGGGGGCCTCGGCAGGAGTGGGACAGGTCTGAGGGTCTCTGGCAGAAGGGGGTGGAACCGAGGCAAGTGCGAAGGCATGGTCCACCGGGGCAAGTGCCAAGATGGCTACCACAAAATTGTACATTGGCTCCCGGCTGGCCTGGGCCAGGGCCAAGGCAGCAGGGGCCGTTCCCTCACTGTTTCCAGGATGGTTTCGCGGGCCATATGAAACTTCGCGGGCTGCATCCGGCCCCCGGGCCTTGTGTTTGACATGTCTGTTCTAAATAAACAGATAAATTTTCATCCACCTTTCTGCTCATCAAGGCTGGAGAGTTTAACCAACTGTGGAATTCCTCTGCTTATTTGAATATGTTGCCCTACAGCTCAAAAACAGATGCTCTGGAGTGGCTCTGACAGTACAGCTGCTCTAAGCCCATGGAGGTAATGGTTTTAAGGGACTACATCCAAAGCAATTACAGTACAAAGATGTTTTTAAACGGGACTTTTTAATTATGTAATTATTCAGTAGCTTTCAGCACTCTGCTTGCGTTCAGGAGCATATTGCCTGACCAGGGATTCAACTTCCCAAAGGACTTCTGTCCCCTCTTCTTCCTCTCATGTCAGCTCTGTCTCTTGACCCTAGAAATAAGCCAAGATCCAGCATTTCTCCAATCATGGACTATTCAGAGGAAGAAGCCAGACTTTCTCCCAAAGGTGCTTTTTCAAAAGGAAGCTGGACTGTTTTTCCTTGAAGACGTTTCAATTCTCATCCAAGAAGCTTCTTCAGTTCTGATTGAATGTGGAGAATGGAAGGATTTATATTCTTTTTCAGTCATCTCGTCATTATTACTACAGCTCTGAAAGTCGTTGAGATCACTTGGAAGTTTATTTGTGCCCTCAGAATCACCTGAGCCCTGAGGGTCACCCAAATAGTGCAAATGGCTGTGGAACCTTCTTGGATTCAAAGAAGGTTCCACATCTATTTGCACTATTCAGGTGATCCTGAGGGCACAGATAAATTTCCAAGTGGCCTCAATGACTTTCAGAAAGAGTGCTAACAACCAGATGACTGCAAAGAATATAAATCCTTCCATTCTCCACCACTCATTCAGAACTGAAAAAGCTTCTTGAATGAGAAGCGAAACGTCTTCAAAGAAAAACAAAGTTGAGTTGCCTTTTGAAAAAGCACCTTTGGGACAGCCATGACTTCCATGGCTGAGAATCTCCACAGATGTTAAGCCAGACCTTATCATGAACATAGTCCTTGCTTAAAATATTATTATCCATACTCCTAAAATAATACCAAATTCTGGTGCAGGGAAATGGAAATATAGCTGGGTACATGAATACGGAGAATTACCTTTCTTTCCCCCGATTATCCAACAGGTATTTCTGGGAAGCCCAGCCAAGACAATAAGCTACTCCTGCTCCTGCTGTTTTACAGGAGCTGGTATTCAGAGGCAACCTATTTTTTTCTTTGCTTCAGGCTGGTTCAAGAATGCACTAAACTGGGAAGACACAGGTCAGGTCTCCCAGTAGTAATACTAAAATAACACTAGCATCTATTCTGAAACGTTCCCAGCAGCAGGTAATGAACCATCTGAATGGCTAGTCCTTCTGCTGGAGGATTGTATTTTTTGTTACAGAATAAGGGGCAGTTTGATGAGAGGAAAGAACTGTAGGCTTGAGTAACTTTGTAGTAGCTCTTTATTTATAAATGTACATAACACGGCACATAGGTAGACAGTTCTGGTCTTTAAAACAGCATCAGTTCCCTCAAGGGGACACAGTGTATTTTTAGAGATATTCAAGACCCCTTCCCACCTCAATTTAGATTTCTAACTTTTAGCTGGTGATTTTGTACAAGATGAGGGCTTTTTTTCCTCCAACTTCAATCCAAATAATTGGTATGTTGCCATCTAGTATCTACCAGTTATTATAGATCTTTAAAAGTCATTCAAGAAAACCTCTTCTAGTTACCAGTGTTGATAGATAAATACATAGAGAGTTTGCTCAAATTATTGGGGGTGGTGACCACAATTATCCATCATTTGAATAAAGTTAGGGGAATCAGGAGGTGGAGCTTGGGTATTAAATATATATTTACCATTTGCCTTTTCATAACTTATTTTTTGGTCATAATGCTTTTGCAGAGCATTAATAATAAGCATATTGTGGATAAAGTCACTTTAATATTGAGCTGATGGCCATCTTGACAAGGCTACATTGTTTTCTCGACAAAAATACAAACGTGACTTGTCAATTTTTCTGCCTTTTTTTTAAATTCGGTCTAGTCATTTTCTAGTCATCTCTTACTTAAGTTCTAACCAGGTCCAATTTATAGAATACAAAAGAGTTAGACCAATTTTCATACCAAACAAAACAGGGAAAATCCTAAAAAGAGCTCTGTAGTCTTTATGGATAAGGCACTATCCATGTGGTATCTCTTTATAACTATGACATGAAGAAAACACCCTAAAATGGTTAAATAACAGCCTAAAATGACTTCTGGTAATTTTTGCTAATGCTGCTCAATCTGCACAGTGATTGGAAAATATAGTTGATAACAGATAAAGTTGGAGAATTTGCTGAAAATTATATAAACAGGTTTCAGCCCCTGTATGATTCAGTACTGAATGGAATTTCAATCAGATATAAATATTAAGAACTTATGTATCTGGAGCATGTCAATCACATATTAACGAATGCTTAAATGCCATAAGATTGTATTTCTCTGTTTTCTACAACTGAGTGACTTGAATTGGAAATATTTTGTAAGTACAATCAGGTCTAAGAAATAATTTGACATTGCCTTTTGCTTAATCTAAAATGATCAGCTCAGTATGACATCCTGTATGGGAAGTGCCTGCAAGTTAGTTTGTTTCAGAGGGAAAAAAATGCAACATGGAAAATCAGACTATGAATGTAGAGTTTTACTGATTCCTAAAAAGGACATAAAGTCACAAAGGGTACCAGCTTTGAGCAAACTTTTTCTGATTTCGAAAAGCTAAAGGACACCACACTTGAGCATTTGAATGGTTTGCTCCCATGTATTTACTGGGGGCTGAACTTGATAAGAGCAGCTTTGGGCTTTAATCGTGGCACAAACACTTCTCGGCAACATTTTCCCTCCATTATCTACCTGACATTGCTCTCTACCAATTTATAGCTCCTTCTAGAGCAGTGTTCCTCAATCTTGGCAACTTTAAAATGTGTGTACTTCAACCCCCAGGTTTTCCCAGCCAGCACTGCTCTACAGACATCCATCTAACTGTCTTTCTACCAAAATAACAATAATCATACCACTTCAGTGATGGCTGGGTAATGCTCCTAGCCACCGGTGCAGAAATCATTCTCACATACAGCCTGTAAATAAGGCAGCTTGAAGTCATCCTTGGTCATCCTTCACTGCTGTGAAAATGCTCTGGCACGGTTCACTGGCTATTTGGTTGCTGACCCAGTCAGAGGATGGAGCTTAACCCTGACCTGCAGAGGGCAAAACTGAGCCAGGTTCTGTCAACTGGGTGTTATTAACTGTTACTATTCAATGCATCACAGGTTTTACATTGTTTCTGCTACCATGGCATTGCCTACCCACACTTTTTATTTTGATTTGCTCCGAGGACTTGTGCAAGAGTGCTACGGCTCTCTCTGTGCAACATTCCCAGATTCAGTTCAGTGGAGCTGCTGTTCCTAGGGCTATTTGTGCAATGGGCTTCACTGTGCCCCCACGTTGGGGCTGGTGCATTATTTTGCCTGCTCATTTTGTATCTGACAGCACTGTGTACCACGGCAATAAATGCTCTTATGGGCAAGCCAATTCCAATTCTGGAAGTCTAACTCTAGTACATGTGTTCATTTTATCTATTATCAAGCTACTTCCAGATGTTGCCATCTGTAAAGGCAGAAGTGGGTTCTCTTATCACTCTAAGTTGCCACTATCCTTTTGCTGCACTAAACAAGGTGGAACTTGCTTATTATTAATCACTCCTTCTCTCTCTAGCCTGTACCCTCTATTGTCAGCCAAAATAATTTAGTGCTATTCAAGAGGAAGGCTAGACCTGTTTTTAGAAATATCCTGATTGGTCAATTCTAAGTAGAGGATATGAAAAAGAAGGAATAAAGAATTCCTTCCACTTCACTCTGTATCCCCTTCTTAGTTCTGTCACTGCTGAATCGAATTTAGCAGATGACTAAATCTGCCATCCCAAACATCTGCTTAAAGTCAACCTTTCCCATATCAGAAGAGTGATTAGTAGTTGTTTTTCAGCAGGCAAGTCAAGCTTAGTGGGAAATGAAACTAGGAGCTATTTATCAACTGTAGAGAGTAATGAAGATGACCTTTGCAAAAATATGTAGATAGAAACTCTTATCCCGGCAAAAGGGGATAGAACACTTTTTTAAGTCCAGAAAGAGATAACATTTGGAGGTTGCTCAGGGTAGACATCTCCCTAAATCACTGGAGTATAAAAAGAGGGAGGAGACAAAGATTTGTAAGAATCTGCTATTATTGCCAATCTCAACAAAGTAGTGTTACCTAATGGGGCAGACTTAATCTCTTCCTTAACTTGGCAGCAGTAACTAAAGGCAACTTAGTTTGCTGGATTTCTTATAGATTGAGGGGGGGGGATGGGACATAATTTATGCCAACATATTTTTCAACTGACTCAGGGACTGGTGGATAGCAGTAATTTGGCCATGAGCCCTTGACCTAGGGGGAAATAACTTCTTGGTGTTTTCTGATATGTAGTTATGTATTTGCCTGAACTTAGGAGAGAAATAAATTAGAGAAATCTCTGGACCAAGGAATTTATGACACAAGTCATGCAGAATTCACTGGCACCAACAATTTTATAGTAGTTATCAAAAGTACATTTCCCCCTAAGAGGCTTTTGTCCAGTTCTCAACTCAAGTGCACTCAACTCGAATTGGCTGTATGTTAAAATGAGGCAAGGCTTCCACCACATGGTTGTGCTGTCATTATGACCTTTTTTGATATGCATCCCCACAGACACCTCTGGTCTGCTTAATCTTTCCCACTAATAAAATAAAATAGTGGGTCAGCATGTTACAAACAGCCCCCAAAAGTGATGGTTTCTTCTTCAACGTGGTATCAACAGAGCTGATCCCCTGGCAAGGATATTAAAACTGCACCTTTGCTGCAAATATTGTGTACACTAGTAAAACTTCAGGATCTACTCAGAATCTATTGGCGTTAAGCAGCAAATAATGTTCAACCAATCAATCAATCAAAAGAGCCTTGCCAATTAGGTAATGATACTAAATCAGTGTTTTTCAACTGATTTCAACTGGCAGCTTGTAGATGTGTGGACTTCAATTCCCAAAGTTCTCCATGCTGGCTATCCACACATCTTCAAGCTGTCAAGGTTGAGAAGCACTGTTCTAAACAGTATCATGTGACTGTTAGTAAAAAAGGAGACAGAAAAAGGAACGAGATTATCTCATGTAAGCTTTCTGCAAAAGCAAGATCTCTAGTCCGGTTTTGTGGCAGTTTTCCTTGTCATTAGAAATCAAATGGTTGGTTATTGGAAAGAGAGGTCTCTCTGGGATGGCATCAATTTGGAAGTCCAGGGCATATCCAGAACCTCAGTGTTCTGAAACACTGAAAGAACAACAGTTGAGTTTGTAGATTGGTTTTATAATTTACTCCCGTTTTGTCAGATTTCATTCATGGCCTCTCTGGTAACGCCCAATAGGTCACCATTTCTGTCCCTCCATCCCCTCCAATTCCACTTGAAAACGGTCAGGATGGAGCTGAATGGACAGGTTTGCCAGCCAATAGCACTCTCAGAGAATTGACAGGCATTAAATCAGCTCCCTCCCTCCCAGCTGAGCCCAGAGAATGGCAATCCTTACCAGCTATCCAGGAATTGATCACTCACTGTTGCTTTCTCCCCTTAAACAAAATAAAGCACAGTGAATCCCTAACATTTTTGCTGGGAGTGGTGGCAAAGCGCCATGGCCTTTAAATTTCAGCGTGGAGTTAAGTGCAAGAGGCAGGACATGTGAAAATCTCTCTCCACCTCACCCCCTTAACAGCACAAAATGTCCATTGGAATTCACGGTAGCAAAACATTACCACTCCTAAGCAGACTTCCCTTATTGGAGGAGAGATGACAACAGTCACAGGGATATGCTGGGAAACATCAGAACGGCAATTGTCCAGCTGTGGTATCAGGCGATCATCACAGATCTCTTCTATCTGGAAGAGCCCCAAGTTACAAAGGTGCTTGTTTTCATTATAAATGGAAAAGAAGGCTGTGCGCTGTCTCTATTAATTCATTGTCGTCCCCATTGAGCACAACAGACTTTGTGCACAGTCCTTACTCAGCAGCTAAGATCTGGTATATCAGACCGGCGCAAATGAAGCCTCCTAACAGTAAAGTGTAGACAATTAAGAAATAAGCCAAAGCTCTTTGGAGTTCTTGAAGAATTTCAGCTACCAGACTTGTGACCTTCTTCTTTCCAGACATATCTCTTGCTCAGATATCTCCAAAGAGCTGTGAAGCCTGTGGCCTTCAGGTGTCCGTGGGGGTGGGATAAGACTGCGTGAAGATTTCTAGATCACAGGAAGCCGGAAGCCATGCTTTGCCTTAACTCAGTTTCCATCATCTTTGGCATGGGATCCTCCTGCATAGATACAGAAAAAGATCAATGTTTTATTTCAGCTCTTTAGAAATGGAAATTCTGACCTCCAAAATGGTGAGCAGACAACATGGAAGAATAGATGAGAATATGATTGCCTTCATTTTTTAAAAAAATAAAAATAAAAACTTCCCAAGTTTCTCAACATTTTTCATGATATAAAGAAACTGATTTTTGTTTTAAAAAAATGAGTGTCTAATAAAAGAGAAAGCTGATATATCAATCCACTTATAGGCTTTCTACATTCTGAAATAATTAAACTCATAATCTAAGCTTAGTTGTTATTGGAAAGACTGGGAAAATGTGGATCTCTTATTTAAACTCTGCTTCCAAACTAAATTCCACTGTCTATTTCCACAACAAAGACAGTTCTGCTATCCAGAAATGCATAATTTGGCCTCCAGAGATATCCCTTTCTGACTTCCATGCTTATGAGGGACTGCTGACATCAACCTTATTGGTTTACTAGAGCAGGGGTCCCCAACCCCTGGTCCGTGGACCAGTACCGGGCCACAGCATGCCAGGACCGGGCTGCACAAACAAGCAACGCTCCATCCACGAGATGCAGACAGCACACAAAACCACACACCCCCCCGGTCCGTGGAAAAACCTCTCTCCACGGAACCAGTTCCTGGTGCCCAAAAGGCTGGAGACCTCAGTACTAGAGAACCCCTGACCCTTTGGGTTATTGTTTCAGAGATATTTCCTTACCAGATTCCTCAATACCTTCAACAGCGGCAGGATATCTAATGTACTGGAAAAGTTGTTAAAAATTCAGGGGAGATATTCAGAGATGTCATGTTGAACTGTATATAGCACAATCAAACATCAGGAGTTGACCACAGAACATGTTTTGTGACATCTTGTATTATGTCATAGAATGCTTTATGATGATTTTCATGTCATAAAATTTTATAACATTTGCCAAATTTCAACTCCATGGGAGTCTTGTGTCCCAGATTTTGGGTGTGTTCTGTAACATATCTCATTTGAGTTGGTTGAAAAAATCTTGCCCTATGATGCACTGTTTCATCCAGTTACAGGTTACGGATATAAGAGTTTTAGTAGTATATAGACTGCTAGGTTTATATGTCACCATAGTCAATACATTTGATGCACTATCAACATCAACATTAACGTAAGTATACAATTCATAAAACAAACTGCAAAACAACGAACTTGTATTAACCACAGACTATGCCAATCCATTATCCTCCAAAGGTTATCCAAAGAGTTCAGTTTTAACCAATTTCCAGAGAGCTGTCAGGATGGATGCCAATCTGGTCTCTGAGGCATGGAAACAACAGTATTCCATAATATAGAAGCCAAACATCCCCACACTCCCAAAATTGGAAAACTATTCAAAAAGAATGTACTTGATGGGTTAATTCTACTGGATGGTTCCGCTGAAGAAAAAGCAACTTCATATTTTAGCAGCACCAAAAAGCTTATTCACAAATTATGACATTTGATTTAAATTCTCTCTCTGTATTATTACTATTTTGGGCCTGGCCCCACCTACTTTTGCAGTTTATCCTGTAAGACTCAAATCCCAAATCTAGTTCCAATTTTTTTTTAAAAAAGCTGCACAGATGTATAATTATTTCAATATAAAAGCCGTTTGGTTTGTCTCTTCCTCTTGTTTCTACTTTTTCACTGGAATATGGCTGATTATGGAGACAATTTTGATTTATATTTAAAAGGGGGGTGGGGTGGAGATTAACTACAGTTTGGTTCTTTATTTCTGAAACATTTAGGAGAATTTTAGGTGTCCCTTGAAATAATTTACCTCCCTCAGTGCAGGCACGGAACTTGGGTGTCCTCCTGGACTCACAGCTAAATTTGGAACAACATCTATCGGCTGTGGCCAAGGGGACCTTTGCCCAGGTTCGCCTGGTACACCAGTTGCGGCCTTATTTGGATCGGGAGGCTCTACTCACGGTTACTCATGCCCTTGTCACCTCAAGACTGGACTACTGTAATGCGCTCTACATGGGGCTACCCTTGAAGAGCATTCGGAGGCTGCAGTTGGTTCAGAATGCAGCCACGAGAGCAATTGTGGGTGCACCAAGGTACACCCACGTGTCACCTATCCTCCACGAGCTGCACTGGCTTCCTGTGGGTCTCCGGATGCAATTCAAGGTGTTGGTTGTCACCTTTAAAGCCCTTCATGGCTTAGGACCAGGTTACTTACAGGACCGCATACTGCTGCATAGTTCCCAGAGACCGGTGAGGCCCCACAGATTGGGCCTCCTTCAGGTCCCGTCGGCCAGACAATGTCGGCTGGCGGGGAAGGGCCTTTTCTGTGGTGGCTCCGACGTGGTGGAATCAACTTCCCCCCGAGATTCGAACTACTCCCACCTTGCCGGCCTTCAAGAAAGCTATTAAAACTCTCCTGTTCCAGCACGCCTGGGGTTGATGTCCCCGGGGGGGGCGGGATTCGATTGGGACATGCTGTGTGAATGTATTCATTTTTAATTGTTATACTTGTTGTTTTAATTTTGTACGCCGCCCTGAGTCCCTAGGGATTGGGCAGCATATAAAATTTAACTAATAAATAAATAAATAATAAATAAATTTTTGCAGTTCAAAGTATAGCCTAATCTGAATACATATAGCCAATGTCCACTTTCTTTATTGAGGCTCCAGATACAGACTTTTATAAGATGGTTGGATGACGCAATCCAGGCAATTCCCCTGTGTTTTCTACCATTTCTTTTATAAATATGTATATATAAATTTTACAGAGATAATGCAGAGTTTGCCTATCTGGAAGCTTGTCACAATTATATTTAAATACTTTAAGTCTTGAATGCCAGCAAAACACCCTTTTTATACTATTCACCATTTGGCCCAATCAAGCATTTGGTTGGTCTTTGTGTTGTTCTAATGAAATGACTGCCCTAAAAGAGCTTTAAACTTTTCTTTTTCTTAAAACTATTGTGACTATCTTCTTTTTTATGCTTTATTAATCACGATGCTTCTATTTAAGCCTGCATATCTAGTACCGAAGCCCACTTCCTTCTTTCTATAGATGACATATAAAAGCAATAATATAGAGAATTAAAGATACTGCTTTAAGCCAGGATGCATAAACAAGTAAGACTGATGCTGCTCCATCTTTTTTTTTAATAACACTTTTGTATCTAAAAGGACTGTCCAGTCCATGTCCAGTTTAAAGAAATCTAAGATAAGGATGGAAATAGACAGAAGGACGTGGATTACTCTGTTATATAGTTATCCATTTATTTACTTATAAAACCTGCATTCCGTTCTTTAAAACATAAAGATAAGGTTAGTTGTTGAAAATGAAACAGAGAAAGCATAAACAGCAGGCATTGAGTAAAAGTTTCACTGCAGTATAGAAATGCAAGAGATGATCTCAATATATTAAAATGTTTAGTAGAATAAAAATACCTTTATTCTGTTGATACATTAGGGAAATGGTCTGAAAGTGAAGGAATGAAATTTATCAGAGACAAGTGAAAGGTGGGGTTTTTTTTTATTTAGGGAACAAAAATCAGATGCACAGGTACACAAGTCTTGGCTGATAATAATACTTGTCAAAACCAGAATCGATTGCAAACTGGATGTGAACCAGCAATATGAGGCAGTTGCAAAAGAGAGAAAGATAAATATAATAGGAAGCGCCATCAATAGAAATATAATTTCCAAACGTCAGAAATAGAATTGCTTTGCACAGACCCCCATCTTGAGTACCCCAGCTCTGGGCAGCTCACTAAATATAACAGGTTTGGGGTAGGGCAATGAGAAGTATCTGGAAAAGATGTTCTCTCAAGAGAAATTGGCAGAACTGCTGGGTATGCCTGACAGGGAAAAAATATAGCTAAATCCGTACAGCTCTGGATTGTAAGCCACAAAGAGTCACCTTATTGAGGAGATGAGTGGCATACAAATTTAATAAACAAATAAAAATAGATAGGAATATGCTAGCAATCTTCATGCACCTGGAAGGATATCACCTAGACCAGGGGTAGGCAACCTTGGCTCTTTTGTGACTCATGGACTTCAACTCCCAGAATTCCTGAGAATTCTGGGAATTGAAGTCCACGAGTCATAAAAGAGCCACGGTTGCCTACCCCTGACCTAAACGGTCAAGATCTGTTTTTCATCATTCCAGTACAAAATGGATTTAAGTTACAAGAAGATTATGGTGCAATATTAGACAAAAATTCAAACTATCAGAGCAGTTTTGACAGTGGAAACAACAATCAAGACAAGTAGTGGGATCCCTTTTATTATAGGTGTTCTACTGAAGGCCAGATGACCATCTATCTGCAGTGTTTTAATGTGGATTCCTGCACTGAGTAGGTAGTTAGACTTGATGCCCTAGATCAGGGGTCCCCAACCCCAGTTCCGTGGACCAATACCGAGCCGCGGCATGCCAGCAACCTGTCTGCACAAACAAGCAAAGCCCCATCCGCGACATGCAGGCAGCACACAAAACCACACACCCTCCGGTCCACAGAAAAACCTCTCCCCATGGAACCAGTCCCTGGTGCCCAAAAGGTTGGGGACCTCTGCCCTAGATCAATATTTCTCAACCTTGTCAACTTGACGATATGTGGACTTCAATTGAGCATGCTCCCTGGGGAATTCTCGGATGAAGGCTATCCATCTTTAAGCTGCTGAGATTGAAAAACATTGCAAGATGACTCCTTCCAACAATAGGATTCCAGAGGATCATTCTAGAGCCAAGCGGCTACCACTGAAAAGGCCATTCCTAGATTACATATTTTTATTTTTATCTCCATTAGTCAGCATCTTTGTTTTTATTCTATTGTAAACATGCATATAAAATCTAACAAATTCTAAGTAATAATAATCACAGGTAATTAGCAGGTACAAAAATGTGGCTTTCCTGATGGTGCCCCAACCATACCATTCTGGGAAGCTTGTGGATTCATCTATTTGCAGACTGTGAGTCCTTCCTCTCTAGCCAACCATTGCACTGCCTTTTTAAAAAGTTAAATAAGAATAAGCTTAAAGAAATAGCAAATGTTTACAAATACTGCACTGCCAACATACCCTCCTTTCAATTACACGGGGTCAGGCTAAATGGTATGAAAACAGGCATGCTGCTTCTGACAATAGTCCATTTAATCCACTAGGAAAGCCCACAATCAGGAAATTATGATGTCCCTTTCTTACAGTTGTTTCCTAGCATACACAGAGATACATCTGGATCACAGATGCCTCCTTTAATTTTCCTTTAAGTTTGATTCTGCCCGTATAACTGGGCTAAATAGGAAAGATGAATTTGGAAGTCTCAGTATCTCAAAAGGCCTTTGGACTTGCACAAATTGGACAAGCAAAAATAATTTGTACAACCTCCAAAGAAGAAGCTCAACTAGAGGTCTCCAGTTTTTAATTCAGAAACCCGTAAAATTCAACCCCTTCGCTTACCTTCGCTTGCCCCTGAACTTTGGCCACTTACATCCAAAGACCTTCTCCTTCAGATGCCGTGTTAGGAGAACTGGAGGTGCTCTCCCATCTCAGCGTTTCCAAGCTTCTCTGTGCAATTAAGCAGGATGCCTTCTTCAGCTGGCTGCAAATGATCCGTTCTGCTGTATAACAATGGTGTTGGGTGGCTGTTCAAGGAGGGAGCCAAACAAAAGGTGGTGGACCTGAGCAACGGGATGCAATTGTATAGCTCACAGATTCTGACGCTGGAAGAAAAAGGAGGTGGTGATTTACTGGCTTCGGCTGAATGCCACTTCTTTCATCTGCCATTCCCCATTCTCTTTCCAGAAAAGCTACTGCTCTTGCTGCTGTTGCTTGGAGATTCTGCTACAGCATTGCCCGTTGCACCTCCTCTCCTATTTTCTAGTCCAGAGTGATTGATGCCCAAAGACAAGGACTGCCTGCTTTAACAAATGCTACAGCTTATGTCGGACTGCTGGTTTGGTGAGATGATAATCTGAAGCCTAGATCAGAAGGCAGATAATGCATTTACTGAGTACTTCACTGATCCCCTGGCTTTCTTCTAATCTCTCCTAAACACCACAGGCAGCAGTGGTGGCCATTGCTAAGATAGATAGAGGCACAGATTCCATAATTATTGTTTCAAGGTTCAACTGTCTGGAAACATGCATATTTTTCAGTATATTTATTAGCTTCATCCATTTAAGACAACTGCAAATATTTTTTAAAGTGTAAAACTGGTTAGGATTTGGAAAGGAAGGTGAGGGCAACCAATCAGAACCAGGCACAACTGGCTTCTAAAGAACCAGCCAATCAGAATGCTAGAAGGACAACTATCTTGTACATTATTTTATTTCCCCAAGGCATGTTCCGGTTAAAGGTAGCACAAGAGAGAAGACACCAGTCACATAATTAAAATACATGGAAATGACTTTTTAAAAATAAGGTGCAGCAGGGCCAAATTAGAATAAAGGCCCTTAAGATAAAAATATTTTGTTTAGATCTGGTAAAAGATAATTTTATGAAGATGATGATGATGCCTTGACTGAAGCTTTTCTTAATTATTTCTGATGTTAAAGAACAAGTGCGAGGACATGTTTATTTTCTCTTTCCTTTTTTTAAAAAAAGAATAAATAAAAATGTGTATAAAACATAATCACGTTAATGAAGCTCCAGAAATATTTAATAATGTGGTTTCTACCAGATGGAATTGATCTGATAGGGCTGGCATGTTCCATGTTCCATGCTTCTTCTATTAAAGAATGCTACCTATCAGGATCTAGAGAGCCTTCTGGAAGGAAGTTCCCCACTCCCAGCTCTGGTTGGTCCCACCCTGTTGGCATTCTGAATCACCATAAAGGCCAAACTGTTCTCCCAGGCTCTGGGCTAGCATGTTTTCAGCCCCCTTGTTAATTGCTGGTAGGATCTTCTGGGGTTTGCTGGGTTCAGTTTCCTCTCCTTTTTTTGTCCAACTCTGATTTTGTTGTTCTTTATCTTTATTATATGGCTTTTATATTGTTTTGGTGTATTGTGAGCTGCCCAGGGCTGTTTAGAGTCAGGCAGCATCAAATGGAACAACATAGTAAATAAATGATAAGTGTTTTATTATACACTGAAATGATCTTCACACATAAGCAGCACACATTTCTCACTGCTACTTTTTTCAAAATATTTCAGGCAGAATGACAGAGGGAGGCAAGCATGCCCCAACAATTATTCACAGATTCCTTTTCCTAATGAGGAAGTACATAATTCAATGGGGGGGGGGGAAAGTAAGATATAAATAAATATTATTGTTTCAAAACTCTGAGGCATAGGTTGTTCACGTGAAAATGTTTTTGGCTCTATTGCATTCTCTGATACTGGTACTGTCTTTGCAGTATCTCCTGATGCATTCTATCATTTATTTTCCATAAGAAATAAATATTTCAATGGGTAAACTGTACAGTGACAGAATGCACCTTTTGTACCTTTGGATTGCACATAGGAAAAGGTAAAGTAATATTGTAGTCTCTACTATCCAGATCTCAGGAGTTTAAATTAGAGGAGCATCAAAATGATTTAGGCATTAGATAAAAATGTCTCGATTAGTCCAACAATGGACCTAACACACAGGGAAAACAGATGTGTTCTCACTTAGTGGAAATGCTTGTGGATATTCTCACTCTCAATTTTCTATAAGGACCAAAATATGTTCCTCTGCTACCAACTCTGAACTTGTGGAATAAACTCTGTAAGTAGAGAATATAAGACAATAGAACTGACTTTCAGAATGTGCTTTCACCCCAGGATAGCTGTCCTACTGGGCGTTATCAAGACAATATACTTTTGTTGTGCTGCAGTGCCACCTCTACGGGGGCAAAAGCTGAAACTGCAGTTGCTCAACCCAGACACAGCTCAGCTGCTAGCAGCTGGATTTTGAATTAATTTCCAGTTTATAAGTGGCTTTTGAGCGTACTGAATATATTGCAGAAACACATCTGGTGGCTAAATCAACTGTTACCAAAAATATACACATTCCCATTGCCCCGTGGTTGTATTACATTAAAAGCATGAAATCTTTAGTTGATTCATCAGTACAAATCTTGTTAGATTGCCTGTGAAAGAGCAGGCATAACAGGCAACACATAGGCAATCAATCATACAGAGAATCAATTTGCTATAGTGGTTAAGGATCTGGGCCAGATTTTATTTATTTCTTTATCAAACGTATTTGCCATCCATCTCGTGGTTCAAGGCTACTCTGAGTCGCTTGAATCACAACACTTTTCAAGACCTCCCTTAGGAATGGAATGGAATGGAATGGAATGGAATAGAATAGAATAGAATAGAATAGAATAGAATAGAATAGAATAGAATAGAATAGAATAGAATAGAATAGAATAGAATAGAATAGAATAGAATAGAATAGGAAGGGACCTTGGTGGTCTTCTAGTCCAGCCCCCTGCTCAAGTAGAAGGACCTATAACAGCTCAGACAGGTGATTGTCTAGTCTCTTCTTAAAAATCTCCAGTGATGAAGTGCCCATGATTTCTGGAGGCAAGCTGTTCCACTGGTTGATTGTCCTCATTGTCAGGAAGTTTCTCCTTAATTCCAGGTTGCTTCTCTCTTTGATTAGTTTCCAACCATTGTTTCTTGTCCTTCCCTCTGGTAATCTGGTACTCATCTTCTTGTAGCAGCAGATACTGGAACACTGCTATCATATCTCCCCTATTTCTTCTTTTCTTTAGACTAGCCAAACCCAAGTCCCGCAGCCATTCTTCGTATGTTTTAGTCTCCAGGCCTTGGATCATCTCAGTTGCTCTTTTCTGAATTTTTTCCAAACTCTCAACATCTTTTTTATGATATGGTGACCAGAATTGGCTGCAGTATTCTAGGTGTGGTCTTAATAGGGTTTTATAAAGGGGTACTAATACTTTGTGTGATCTTGATTCTATGCCTCTGTTTATACAACCCAGGATTGTATTAGCTTTTTTTGTTGCTGCTGCACAGTGCTGGCTCATAGTCAAGTGATCGTCCACTAGGACTCCAAGGTCCCTCTCACAGTTACTGTTTTTAAGCCAGGTCTCATCCAATCTATACTTCTACCTTTGATTTTTCCTACCTAAATGTAAAACTTTGCTTTTCTCCACATTGAAACTCATTTTGTTGGATATGGCCCATTGTTCAGGTTTATCTAGATCTTTTTGGATCCTGACTTTGTCTTTTGGGGTGTTGGCTACTCCTGTCAGTTTGGTGTCATCTGCAAAGTTGATGAGTTCCCCTTCAATTCCCTCATCAGGCAGAAGTATTAGATATGTTCACTCCCTTGAGTTATATACAAAAAAGGATAAAATAATAATAATACATAAGATTTGCCATATAATGACAAAGCAGGGTCAATGAACGGCTGTATTCAAGCAACACATTTAAAGATGTTGCTGAATTAACTTATTATCTGGGGCATGAATCACGAACTAATTAAAAAGGCTAGACTTGCAGGACATATCAATGCACTATACATAATTTAAGAGAGGGGTGTGATGTTTTTTAAATGCAAGGGACATGCTTGGCTTGGTATGCCATGGCCTAAGGAAAAAGGAGTAGTTTTTGATATCAACATTTTGTTTTTAAAAGCACGTCCCTGTTTTTAATCTGCCAAATGCAGGTTGTTGTAAAAAAGCAGTTTTGAAATGTAGGTAGGCAGTTTATAGGAATGCATTTTTGTGTTGTATTTTTAATTATTTGGTTTGCCTGAGAAATCTTGAAATTGGAGGGGGGGAGTGAGAGTTGGATGCAGGGTTTTTAACCTCTTGCTGTTTACCTAGATCAGCGGTTCTCAAACATTGCGTGCCAGAAGCAATGAGAATCAGAAGACTAGGCAGCATAAATTACACAAAGAGGTAAATATCTTACTGCTGTTGCTTTCCAATCCAGCTGGAAGCAGGCGGATGATCACTGATAATACAAAACTCGTTATCCAGGGGTAACCCTGGGGAAATCGCTGGGTTAGATAATCAGAACCTCCGTTTTCAAAGACTTTCTACCCGTTGCAAGTCCCCGATGCTACCGGCTTACGATCCTCGTAGCGATTTCTCCATCTACTCACCCTCCATAGAAAATACACTCCCGCCCCAGCGCGTCTCTTTTTGACAGATTAATCAAATCAAACACACCTCTCTTGTTTCTGCCCGATTTGTAGCCCTTTCGTTTTCCATTTTTATGCAGCCAATCTGGATCTACAAACAAAACCCCTTTGAAATAACCAGGTGATTCTTCCCTTTTCTTATCTCTATGCCGCAAGTTTCCCTCAGCCAAAATCAACACTACAGACATTACCTCTCTTGCCTCTGCCGTCAAAAGACAAGTCCCGATGCCGATTAGATCATACTCTTAGCTCTCTAGACGGCTGTGATTTTTGCGACTCTGCTACGAAATAAGGCCAGCCCTCTGTTGCTGTAGAGACTCCCATGCTCGGGTTTGCGGCATTGCCGAAAAGCAATGCAATCACTTTCTCTCTTAATAATTAGACGACAGGGGGCCATCTTTGGCCGTGCCGCTTGGGCCCTGGGCCCCCTCCTCCAGCTCTGCTTTACGGCAGGGTCGTAGACCGCCAATGGGCGAGCAGAGTTTGCGACGTTTGGGCGGAAGTGTGTCCTGAGGGAAGAAGACGCGCGAGAGAAAGAGAGAGACAGCCCTTCCTGATCCGTGACAGGAGTTCGCCTGAAGGAAGGAAGCCGGAGGGCAAAAGGTGGACCGAGGACTTCATGGGGAACGTGGGTAGCCACAGCGAGGGAGAGGAAGAAGAGGAGGAGGCAGCAGCGGGAGGAGGAGGAGGAGGAACAGCGAACATCGTCACCTGGAGCAATAGTAACGGCAACTGGGCCGCTGCCACCAGCGAGTCACCTCCGCCGGGAGCTATGGAGGCCGCCTTCCCGGGCCTGGCTTCCCCGCCGCCAGCTTCGTCGTCGTCTTCTTCCTCCGCCGCCTCGACCCTCCCGCCGCCGGCGGTGTTGCTCGGACAAGCCCGCCTGCGCGAGGAAGCCGCCGCTCGCCTGCGCGAGGTGCCCGCGGCCGAGTCGCTGCTCTCGCGCCACCACTCCGCTTTGGTGCGCTGGTTGGAGGAGCGCCTGGGCCGCGGGGAGCACGCCATCAGCCTCGAGCAGCTCTGCGAAGCCTTGGAGATTCGTGCTGGGCCCGCGCAAGGGACCACGGCCACGGCCGCCGCCGCCGCCGCCGCTGGGGCAGGAGGGGACCCCGCTGCCGCTGCGGCCGAGGAGCGAGTCAGGAGCGAAGAGGTGAGCACGGGAGAGCCACCCGGGGGGGGGGAGGAAAAGCTCAACTGCACCTGCAGAGCAAAAGGCTAGTACCGGACGCTTCTTTTCCGGGGTTGGCACAAAAAGAGTTGTTAGTGCTCAGAGAGGACATCTTTTCCTCGAGGCATCTTTCTGATGAATGTGTGTGAGAGGAGAATCATTGAACAACCAATGGAGTAGCAATCGAGCAACTTGCCTTCAGAAGCTGTGGGTGCCCCAGCACTGGAGGCTTTTAAGAAGAGACTGGACAGCTTTCTATCATAAATAGTATAGGTCCCTTGCAAGAGCAGGGAGTTGGACTAGATGACCTCCAAGGTCCCTTCCAACTCTATTACTGTTACTGAACTGCATAAACTCTGGGTTACATTTAGTACTAAATGTATTATTGGAATTTCATCTTGGGCTTTCTCCTGAACCAATTAGCAGGCTGCAGGCATACGCAGCTTTCACCAAGGGTGCCATTAGGGAATACATTTGAAATAA